AAGGTAGGGGACGATTCTATTTATCAATATATAAAAGCTGTAAATGAGTTCATGGTTGGACAGTGCTGGAGTTGATAAATGTTTGCTGTGAGTGCCGGCTACCGTTTTATTTATAATTATAAAATATGAAATATTAGAAACTCGACACATGCCGGCTACCGTTTTATTTAAAGTTAAAAAATAAGAGAAATTAGAAACTCGACACATGGATCAGTCATATTGTTCGTAGGAATAATGGAAAACCTTTGTTTAAATATAACGACATTGGAATATTTAATCCGGCCATATAATAAAGAGATATCTTTTTCTTTATTACAGAAATATAAATTTCTCTGAAAAATGTCTTATTAAGCATGCCATGATTTATGTTATATTGTTGATGTTGTTAAAGTGCCTAGCCTAGCCTAGCATTCTTTGTTGTAGGAAGTACCTGTTTGATGTTAGAATTGCTCAAATCAATGAAAACGCTTGCTGATAAAAATGGTGTCTACACATACAAAGTATTAAGTTTTTATATAAGAAATAAAATTTTATGACATATTAGTGTTTAATAGTAAAATGCCCGGTGCATCGTTTATCCATGTTAATCTTATATAATAATATTATTCATATACTCTGTCCCGTGCCGTGTCAAACAATACAACTTTTTTTACTATCTGTGTATTTAAAACGATTATTGGACACTTTCAAATCGATCTCAGTATGGTGTAGGTAATGGAGATGCAATGCCCTGGCTGCAGATGGATTAATGCTTGATTTGCTTGTGTTTTACGTCCTATTAATAGCTAGAGTCATTAATGGGCAAGCCCCGTTTTAGTGGTAGAGGCAAACCGGAGAAAAAAACACCGTTCTGCACCACACTAAGACCTCAAACCCGTGACCCAGTTGAGGAGGGCTAGTGATTGAGGCGTTCATATGCCTATACCACAGATTAACATCTAAGCCCTCGATGATTGCACTCTTTCATTTACTGTCATAGTGTGGTCTTCTCCGTAGTAAGCAATATTTGATTTGCAGACAAGGGTCTCCACATAAAGCAATAATTGATTTAGTACACAATCACTTATCCCTTCAAACAGTGTTTTGCATCAAATAAGTTATATAAGACATGCTTTTAATACTGTAAATCATATTTTTTTAAGAAATTATTATTTTCATGTTAGTCGGGTCAATTGCGTATCATTTATTGAAAATTTTGTCATGTACAGTTAATTAAGCATGTGAAAACAGTTTCCTCGATTATTGTGTGATTTAAATATAACAGGTTGAGTACTTAAGGAGAACAATTAACATTTTCATGAGTTTTAAAAGTGACTGACAAACTATTATGTACATAAAAAGGCATGCTTGTAGACAATCTATATTATAAGGATAATATAATACCTATGTCAATAACAAAATATATAAGAAAAATATACATCAAGTGTTAATAAAACCCATTTGTTTGGTTTAGTTTATATTGCTTAAATATCCTTGATATTGACTATACATATCAGAAGAACCATCACAGCTCTGACAATGGCCTATAATTCTTGTGTTGATGGGGTTTTGTATTAACTTACTATCTTTATGTCATTTCGCCTTCTTAGTGAATCAGGCATGTACATGGGTTCTTTTAGGCGATTGCTTTCTTTTTTATGCCACAAAATAATACAAGAGTTTTGATTAAATTAATTCTAGATATCGTAATCTATATGAGTATACCACAAGACGTAATATTTTTACAAATACGTGTATTGTACATAGCCAAACATGATACGAAGAAGAAAAAACAAGTATTGTGAACAAGATTTCTTTCCTTCCTTATGCTGTGTTTCTGCATGTTTGTCATGAACAGAAACTCTCTCTTTGGTTAACTTTTCATGTTAATCTACAAAATCAAAAATTTTCATTCTATTCTGGGCAATACAAAATGAGCAATATTCCTCAAAGATGTATGTGCCTGTTTATGTAATATGCAGAAAACAATTCAGACGCTTTTTGCAGTAACTTGTTTGAGTAGATTAATGTTTAATTTTGTAGGCTATTTTAATAAGCCAATACATATATATATTATTTCATAACATTCCGTATTTCTGTCTTTTTATCATTTCCTTCGCTAAATGGTGATACGTTTTTTTTCTTTTTGTTTTTACTAACTTTTATAGAAATGTGATTTTAGCCAAACATAATGGTGGTGATATAGGTATTAACCATATGTTGTGTAAAATTTTCAGTGTGAAACATTTTGTTGGGAAGGATTAATATTAAAAACAAGCAGATTGCCATTAAAGAGTAAGCTGATGATATTTATAGCCCCCAGAAATTTCAAAAAGTTGTCTTTACAAGCAAGCAATCCTTAACCAGTACAAAGAACTGAAGTACTGTGATTGTATATTTATGGATACTGCATATATTTAAGCATGCACTCTGCACATCGTTTTGTTTTATAGTTCATTACACATTATATTGTTCTGTGACAGAACACTCATTGTTTTAGAATTCACTTGAGTGGTTTAGCAGTATTGATGTATACGGCACTTTGTGTCAAATATAATTTGACACATGCTTGTGTTCAAAATATTTCTTATTTTCCTTTTCTAGTCAATGTGAACTAAAATTACATTATGTTTGAAATTATATTTGACAATACAAAAACGATGATATATTATGAAAATAGCATTGCCATGGCAGGACATGTTAATTACATAAATCTGATTATTAAAATGTACAGTATCATACGGCATTGCCTTAGCAGGAAAATTGATATACAACAAAGATGATATTTATTTGTATACATTGCATTAAATTTCATACTCACACCTTACTATTGCATTCTTGAAAAGTTTGCTTTTTTTTCTTTATTTAATTGTTTACAAAATTGATAAAAATTAGATATTAGGATAATGTATATTTTTTAGAATAAAATCAACTGAACACGTTCAAAGTTGTCAACTGCCAGAGTAGTAGTAACAACGGTATATGATCGTAATTAATTAATAACCTATTACTAACGTCACGTGATACACTTACTAGGAACACCTTTACTGTTGAAAAAGGATGGTAATATCTAAAGGGACATCGCTTTTTTAAAACCTGTATACTGAACTGTTTTTTAAGAGAGAAAGATGGCAAGGAAGAAAACTAAAATATATTTAACATTTTCTATTCTTTTTAAATACTGCCTTAACCAAGGTACATGTTATGTATCTGATTGCTAGTTGCTGTTCTGTGGAATGGATTTTAATTGTTTAATATTCTTTTTTATTATCATTTTGTTTCTAAATATTAAAACATTTAATTATGATACATAAGATACTGAACTGGAAATCGAAAGGAATGTTAGTATACTTTATTCTCCAGTGTTTCAATTAGGATGCACTGATGTTATGAGTTAATTATCAATTACCCTAATGAGATTGATAGTGATATATTGTGTTTTGTGCACTTGCTAGATGGTATGTGGTTCAACGTTAGGCTGTGAATTGTGGTTTGCTTAAATAATACTTACTGAAGTACCAAAATATATTTAAACATAATTTGGTGATGAAAATCGGTCCAAATAATGTCGAACTACTTAATACAGGTCTGGCTGTTAGTTTGAAAATTATCGACAATTTACCTTATTTATACCATTAAAAGAAAGAAAAAATATAAAATTACCTCCAAATACAGTTTCATTTTCGTAATTTCCATTTAACGTATATATGTTTGAAATTACATTTTTTGCTTTGGGTGTTAACTTCAAAGACATTCTGACACAATTATCCCCTTCTATAGTCCAGGAGGGTTCACATTTGATCAGTAGAGATCGCTAGACCACACATTCTTACATGTTTCAGGTAGTGATCGACGGTCGTATTTTAACGTAATAAAGAAAATTGATTGGATTTTAGTGTTTTGTTTTGTGCCACTCATGTCATGATAAAATGGTGTAACCTTTATAGTTGGTCAGTTTCATTGTATTTTACCTTTACTTGTAAATTACTTGCAGTAATTGTATCACTGCCATCAACTTAACTATACACTGGAAACCTCTCTGGCATAGCTGTAGCTTTGATAAATCGTTTCTGAAAAGAATGATGAAATAATCAAAGTATAATTAACAGCTTTCAAAGTGTAAAATTCAGTTAAATCTTTGTTTTATTCACATAACATGTAATACATAATACAAAACATGATTGAACATAAATGAATTGGAGACAGAAACAAGTGTTAATACACTTATATAAATCTGTTACCTTTCATCGTAACCAACATTAACAACTATATAGCTTAGGGATAGTGACTTGAATAGGGAAAAAATACAGGGGAAGTTAGAAGATATTTGGGGTAAAATGCAGTGTAAAATATGGTACATGTACAAAATAAGTTATAGTCAACGGGGCTAGACCAGGATTCAAACACTCGACCTCATACTGTTATACTGTTCGCTCTAACCATCGAACAGCCTAGTCAACGGAAGAGTCCTGGCCCATTATAGTACAGTTAAATTTGATATTTGAAACAAAATTAAGGGGAGGTACATGTTACTGTATACACGAAAAAACCCAGAGTGGGATTCTCCATTATTTTGGCTGCAGCGGGACAGGGATACCTCAGCTTAACATAATGCCGCAATGAAAGAGCAGTTAAAAAAGAGAACCTGAATTGAGGTGAAAAGTGTTGCACTGATGGGCATCAGAAGAATTTCGGTATCTCTTGGGACTCCAGAAAGCGAGAATCCCGTGAAAGGATATTCATGATGTTATGAGAGACGTATTAAGAATTCCAAAGATAAAGAGTTTAACCTTAATTAGACCAATCCCAATTAGCTTGGAATGTCACATTGTATTGGCATGGTGCTGACACATTATTTGTAAAAAAAAAAAAACGGAGAAAATCCGAAAACCAAGGGCCTCGAAAATTGATGAACATGGGCCAAGTTAACCTCTGGGATAATTCCAGTCAATGTTACCTTGATTTAAAGGTACCCTATGCTTGCCATAACACCGGTATTTATTTTATTTGCAGTGACCTTCGGATCGCTATAGGTAGAATACCGTAGTAAGGTGTGTATACATGTATCATATACCTATGTAATATAGACGTATGTGGAATCGGGTGATCGCTAGACAGGACCATGGTTCGATGAAGCGGGGTAGCCGGCAAGGAACACGGATGTTTGACACAGTGTAGTGCCGTGGACTGTCTCTGTATTTGTTTTGAGTTAGAAATGACACATTTGTGATTTCAGCCTCTTAAAGCTAGCATGTGACAGGCGGGAGGAATACTTAGTATTGGTAAGTGGACTCGCTGTACGCACTTAACTAGGCATTTATTATAAATGTACGGGGACATGATTTGTAAGCGTGTCACTGGAACGACTGAAAACTAAACATATACTCCAGCAAACGTATGTAAGTCCTTAATTCAATGTTAATATATTATTACAATTCCGACAATAGATGTCGGTATACAGTCTCACATGAACAGTAAACAACCTTGTGTACCTTATATATGTAAAAAGTGGTTAGCTTGATAACCGCATTGTTAGCTTTATTATGAGTCGTTATGGTCGATTGAAATCAAGTGGGTTCCGAGTGGATGAATGATCCTATTATGTACGTTACTACGTGTATAATATAGAGCAGAACACACGTGATTTTGTCATGTTTTCAATGAAGTACGTATATGACAAAGCGTTTGGTTTAACTTAACCCGTGTCTTATTGCAGATTAGAATGGAGGATCCGGGCATCAAACAAGATATCAACCCTTCTGGTGTCGAAGTTGAGCTGGGCGTTGTGGATGAAGGGACAAAAACTCTAACTGCAGAGCAACAGTCGACCCTTAATACGGTACAGTGTACATTTACATTCATATATAACATTATTCACTCATGCATGCAGTCACGACTATTTATAGTTTTATACTACACGTTTTATTGTCCCATGTTTCAGTCGGCTTTAAATCTATCAATAAGGGTGTCATAATCCTTCGATCGTTCAGAGAAAATCGATGGTTTTTAACGTGCTATTTCATGGTCTATCCACAGCACTTACTCAAATTTTAGGCCGAAGGTAAACAAGGTAAACAGGCAATGTGCTGGTTCTATATGTATACAATTTCCTTCCTCGTGTAACAAGGTATATTGTGTGTCTGAAGAATGGCTTTTTAAGCTGCTGAAATGTTATCGTCAGGTAAACAAGAATATTTCGTCTTAAGGGAGTGTATGTGCTGCTGTGATATTATGTTTTGTTGGCCAGAAAATCATTACAAGTGATAATTGTTTTGTTGTTCAAAATGACAAACATCTCTCCTGTCTCAACTAGGAAGCATATATCGTGATATTATCATATCCAGAAATATCTATTATTATACTTAAATATGATGATTCTAAACTCGATTCATGCTTATTTACAAAACCAGTCATTTAAAACAGAGGAGAGTCGGCTTGCTCGTATTACGAAAGAAAGATTTAAAACTGTCTTGAATAAATGATCTTGATAATGTCCCTGTTCATTTATAAAAAAAAAATCAAATACATTATTTTATTATTCGGAAAAAGATTGATCAGTTTGTTATGAATAAGAACAGCTAAATTATTTTTAACACAACAGGAATTAAAACTTCGAAAACGTCTGCTTCCATTGTAAAGCCAACACGTTTTCAATTCCTGTTTGTGTCTAAAACATACTTAGCATTTATTATGTGTTAATAAAAAATGCACTTCTTCTTCTTCTTCTTCTTCTTCTTGATACGAGGGCTCCATCAGTTTGATAATTATGCCATCGGCATAGTTTAATTGTGTAACGTTGTAATTGATATGAAACTGACACTATTTAATCCTTAAAACCAAAACATGCCTCACTAAAATATCTGACCGAGGATGATAATATCTCAACAGTATCCAAAGCAGATATAAAGATAAACTTACGCTTCATTACACAACAGACGAAAACATCACTTGCTAGATTCAGATGGAACCCTTCTTAAGCTTAAAATACATTTTGTTTATAATTCATGTGACATTTACTTACATATTAAGTAATTATTTGTATTTACACAAGTTTATTCCTGCAATAATATTCCCTCATAGATTACTTTTTTTCTTAATGTTTTCACTCACAAGTGATAGAAATGCATCGTTTAAATATGGATGGAGAGAGAGACAGAGAGACAGGGAGAGATACAGACAGACTGACAGGGAAAGAGACACAGACAGAGAGAGAGAGACCATTATATAATCGAGAAAATGTTATAGAAAGAAAGTTTAAAATAGAAATCTAGAGAACAGTAACCAATTGGTGTATAGTGTTTATTGTATGCAGATGCTCATACAGATGCTCAGATTATTGGGGGTTCTAGATTAAGTAATGCTATATTGCAAAGTCATTTCACATCTATATTTTAGGTCTATTGACTTTTGGACATATTAACTAAAATCCTAATATGAAAAATATGTGATACTAGCTGTAGATGACGCACTATTTTCGGATAAACTCTTGCTGAAATATTACACTTGTCACGATATTGAGTAGAAAACTCATGGTGCACTTGTAACAGGATGTCACACAAGTAGTTTGAACGGGCCCATTAAATGAATCATTTAGCAAAGTATACATGATATAGAGTTATTGATGAAAGGTAAATAAACCGCCATAACCATATATAATCTCAAACCAAATGGCACAAACATGCATTCAGTATTATCAAAAGTCACTAAATGGGATATTCCCATTTAAACGAAACCTTTACAAGATATATAATTGACACAATACGACTCGTAGCACTGCTAACGCATTCCATTCACGTCATAATAGATTATGTTCAGTTTGCCTTCTTGTTGTCATTATGGACAAATGAATACCTGTACAATCGTACAATAGTTGGTTATGTAATATCTTACCTCACGTGTTACTTGTTAAATGAATTTCCGTTTGTAAATCAAGATATCAAATAACAATTTTAAATGGATGAAGGAATTCTTTTCTAAAAATTACCATAGGACAATTTTGCACTCGTTTGTATGGACATCCCCCTCAAAGCACGTCTGTTAGCGTTTCATTTTACACCGGAGAGTACTTTATTTTGATGCATATTTATGCATCAGAAGAATTTTCAAGTCTGAATATTTCGTCCGAAAAAAATGACAGGGTGTTCATCGCACAACGTGACCGATATATAAGGAAATCAACTTAGCGAGTTACAATAACATTTTTCCTCTTCATAATTCATAATAGAAACAGCTGCAATATATTTAAAGCTTACATAACATGCTTCAATCATGTAAATATTTTCAATGAGTAATACCATCATTTGAATTCGTAACCATTGATTGATATTATACACACAGTTCAGAAACCAGGTTCAAGACGTCCTTAAGCCAGACCATGACGATAACTTTCTTCTCCGGTGGTTAAGAGGTAAGCAACACGCCCTTGCATGTAATTTAAATCCATGAACGATGTCCGGACGCACAAACGTCATTTCCATTCATCACCCTATATAAACGTCTTCATATGATTTGACCCATGAAAATCAAATGATACCCTCTTATGTGTTAATGTAAACAGAGAAATGTGTTTATTTAAGACATTCTTTAATATCTGAAATAATTTGTTCTTTTTTCAGCTAGAAACTTTGACCTGACCAAGTCAGAGGAGATGCTGAGAAATGTAAGTGTTTCTTATATTGGGTATTAACAAAGGATTGGGAGAACAATGATTATAAACAAATGTTCGAGAGTCAATGTGCTACCGGTATTGAGTACTTTTAATATTATGAAAATTGGTACCAATTAGATTTTCATATTCTGTAAGAAATGTTCAAGAAATGTTACATATTTTTTACGGTTGACCGATATTTACATTAGTGAATGCTGACCTCAACTGAGCTAAACCTCCTTCTTACACCATACTTTATTTCTAAAACTTCCATACCTTATAAGTTTCCTTATTCTGTAAGCCCTCTCCCCACCTCTTAGAATATATTTTTTCAATAGAAATTCAAAGGCTTCGCTCTTAATGCACATATCGTTTCTACACTCTTGGATTGGTTTCAGATATTTAAGAACAAAAAAGTATATTTCAAGACGTTAGGCTGCTACCTCTGTCAGTGAAAGACTACAACGGACGAACACTATTTTTTAAAGCGGTCAATTTTACCCTTACTCCGCCGCGCGATTATTTTAATGTACATATATTAAATGATAAGCCTAGTCTACGTGTATCATCCGCAAGGTGGCGTCAACGGAGCCTTCAGTTTTGCCATGACATATCATAAGGGTGTAAGGAATGTGATATTCTTACGTTACGGATTATTACCAGATCAGACAGTGAAATTCGATTCGGCCATTCCATTTTGTACACCCCAACGGACAAAAATAAATCAAGTGTACAGTGTGTTCATAATGAATATAAATCTTTATTATTCGGATAATACTCCTGATGCAGAAGTTTCGAGGGCAAGCCATTTTGACTTTTAAACTTTGTTTTGCAGAGTTTGATATGGCGGGAGAAACATAATGTAGACACAATTCTAGAGGATTTTGAGTCTCCAGATGTCGTGAAGAAGTACTTTACCGGCGGTACCAGTGGATTCGACAAGGAGGGCTGTCCTATATGGGTGGATCCGTTAGGTAGATTGGATTTCAAAGGTGCGTAACTTATTTAGTTGTGTTGTAACGTTATTTAGTTGTTCACTATCAGCACAATTTTATATTATAATCGTCTTTTTGTTTGGAGGAATTAAAAAAAATTCAAAAACAATCAGTCATTTCAATATGTGATATTATCTTACCTATAAATGTTGTTGACAGTACTTGAATATTCCATCTCGTGTTGGGTCCAAACAGCTGGCAAGTGATGTACAAAAATGCTGTATGTCAATGCCAGTTTGTGAAATAAAAACTGAAAAAAAATATTATTACCTCCATGTGCATTTAACCAACAGGACTAAGAAAGTATGATATGTCGCCATCTTATCGTTATAACATTAACGAGACTGGCTACAATTCTCAAAACATTTCAGGAGTAGCTACATGTCAACAAACACGATGACATTCTATTGGTACTTGTGTCGATGAAGAATGTATAGATTAAAAATAAACGACATGATCAGAGACCTCGAAGAGAAACCGTTATTTGGCCGGGGTTGTCGATAAAGGCTTGTGGTATCATTTTGAAAGACCAAAAAAATGTGTTTGAAACATGGTCAATAACAATACTGTTGATCTGTGCCTGATTTGTTGATGAAGCAATCTGATTACAAATGCATGTGCATGATTTTAACATTTGACATTTCAGGGCTATGTGCATGTGCGAGAAAAATAGATTTGATAAAACATAAAGTTTATCGGCTAGAATTGTTCACCACGATCATGAAGGAACAGTCCAAAAAGGTATGTCTTTTAATAAAGGTTGTTCTGTTCTCGTCCCTGTGTGGGCATAATAGAACTGACCTCGACGCGTTAAAAGTGAAGGAAAACGATATATTTTACATCTTTCCCTTCTCCAGCGTAGTATAAATTAGCGTTTACGCAGTGAAAAATAGCTCGGTGAATTGATACTTGTTTCAGATATGGGGCTGTTCACGATTAAGCGAGAGATAACAATCCATTGACGGCCAATACTTGTTTTCTTCATCATCTGGAAACATCGAAAATATCCGTGATCGTTTAGGTCTAATTATACAACAAAGGGATGCTGCTGGCAAACTTCTTATTCCATTGATGCACATTCAAATTTCTTTGACTGTTAAAGTAATAATGGCGGCTTCGTTCAGGAATATTCGACCGCGTCATTACCAAAGTAGTGTGTCAATGCGCTTACTTAACGACCGTTATAAAGGAATGAAAATGTTCGAAGGGATACTCAAATTAATTAAACTGGAAATTTAAAGCTATGAAGAGAAAAAAAAATTAATGTTGTCCACTGTGTATTTTCTAAATTATTCATATGCCGATGTGGAATCACTGAAACTGTATAGTATCCTAGCAACAACGGCTACCGTAGTTATCATCGTAGCAACCCGCTTCGACCGGTTTTTCGTTATAAAGCATTTGAACATTTTGTAGGTGTAAACATACGGGTTCACCATAGTTTTAACCAGTTTCTCTCGATTTCAAGACGTCACAATGACGTGAATGACGTGACGTCATAGATCATGAAAATTCCCATGCAGCAATGTGGAAAAAGCCGACTTGATGAAATTAAATATTTCGATATATTGGCCGTAAATGTCAGGAAAACCAGGGTACTTTTGTTCGTGTTAAAGTTTAACGAGATGTATTTTTGAATTTCTCCGGTCGGTTTTGCTGCAGGGATTAAAGGGGAAAACGATATTTTCAAAACGGTAGCCAGTCAAAACGCATTTTTGGTGTTTCCATGCTGTGGTGAGGGGAAATAATCTTTCTTCCCCAAAGATGGTTTGATCCAAATTAGGGCAAACCATCCAAAAGCCTCGAGTTTTTCCCAATTTGAAAGCCCCTTTGACTGATTTTCCTTATCCTCAACCCCTGGACATAAAGAAGTCTAGATATGTAGTGACAGGCTTTTATTCATATTTTTTTCTTTTCTGTACGCATATGTTGGTGTGGTTTAACTAGTATCTGTCTTTAATAACAAAGTATAACAATACAGAAACTGACACACCTAACATAACAAAGAAATTCGCCTTACTAAACCAATAACTAACAGTAGAGGAGAATTTCTCATCTAAGTGTTGTTTGTTGACAATACTGCTACACGCCTCGTGAGCGTTGAGATAACACTGCGGTGAAAATGTATTGTTATATTTCATCTCTTCTCTTCACTGGGGACGTATAGTGGGCTATTAATACGGGTTGCTATTTTCACAGGACATACTTACTCATGGTCAGAACATTTAAACCGCGTTATATCATAAAACAATTTGTTTGAGAGTAAAAATCTTCCCTGTGTCTTCCGGTTACCAGGCTACGCTATATAACCCTTAATACTAAATAATTAAGATTAAATCGCATACATTTCACACATTATATATGTATATACTGTCGGTACGTAAGAAGCTTGCGGTATATCAAATACAATTTAAACAAAACGTTTCATCATAATTCAGGAAACTAAGGTTATACCCACAATTAGTACAATTCAAGATCTCAACATGTAAAACACGAATTAGCTCGATGACATTTTAACGATTTAGGTTTGGATAGATCTTACCAAGACGGGGACATTCCCGAGCCAGTGTCTGAAGCCACAATGTAGTTCCGATCAGAGATTCCTACAAGTGCGCAAAAATAAAACATTCTTTGTTTTGTTTGGGTTCTGTGGTAACTCACACTAAAACATACGACATTAGTGGTCAAAACATGCATGAAATTTCGGAATTTCATATCATGAAGAATTTTATTAATTAATTTCTGGATAGATCGTACAAGCTGAAGCTCAATTGCAAAAGTTGTGGTCTCTTTAGCAAATATTGAGAAAATCTTTCAAGCAAAGGAACAAAACATGATCACGGTAGAGTTAACAGTTTCGTAGTGTTAACAGTTTCTGACTTGTGTAGTGCTACCATTACAGGGCTAATGGCGTCGGTAGGGCACAAAGACTTGTTACTCCATAAGTTGTCCGACCTTGAACGATTTTCGAAGGTCATGGCGGACCAATCTAACAAGGTGAGACATATTGCATGTCAGTACCAATATAACTGACTATGCATTGGTATTGTAAACATTGAAATTACTGTACTGAACCAAATCTGATTTGATATAATTTTTCTTTTAAAGTACTGTTAACATTTATAGGGGTGTCTGATGCATAACGAGCTATTTTTGAAAAACTTTTATTTGCAAAACATATTCGATTTTCTGGATGTCCCATCATGTTGAGTGCATTATATACAGTTCCTTGCAGGAAAATAACTGCTGAATCGGGCTGCGTGAACATGGGAGGCTTAGTATGTAGGCCTTTGTCTTCTACTCTGATTTGCTGAACCAATTGCAACATCTTATATCTCTATATTTTCTCTTTTACCTTTCTCTCGTTCTTCTTTCCTTTCCGCGATGTCCCCCTTGGCGCCTGTCTGTATAAGGTCGGAGCTTTTGAAGCACTAAAATCCCGTACAGTACAAAAAAAAACAATATGATAAACAATGCTTACCTTTTGTTGTGCTACTAACCTGACTGCATGGATTCTGTATTGTCACTATCACGAGACCGCAATCTTCTTATTACTTATTTCATATCTCAACAGGTAGTGCATCCCGGGTTTACCTAGTACACGTTTAATGAACACACGAACGAGTCTTCTTCGCATGTTCATCTTGCATGAACCTTGTAACGTTTCGTGCTATTGTAATTCGGTATGTTAATAACTAAGTTGCATGCATATACTTAAAAAGTATATGTTGTCTTGAAAAATCTATATCGATTTATATATGTTTGAATTGAATGCGATAATTGTCGTTTCTGCCTTTATGAATAATAATATAAATAGCTATCCTAAATTCGTTCCATGCTTCTATGAAAAGTATTCATGTGTTTCTTTTCTGTATAAACTGAGTAACTTGTTAGTTTTCACCAAATAGATTATACCGATTATATAACATAACGATAAACTCACAGCATTCACACGAAATTACAAAAGGCTTTCGACATTCAAATTTCCACATTAACGTTATTGAAAAAAGAGGTATAGCAAAATACAAATATAATCTAAATAAAGCTGGATTTGAAAAATGTTTCGAAAAATTGTTTATACCTGCAGTCCAAAGTAGGTTATAATTATTCTTTATACTATGTATTCCGTCTTTTCGTATTGTTTCGTCATTTGTTTGTGAGAGTAACGTCATCAATTTTTGAGAAAACGACGTAATTTTCTTGCACAAACCAATGACGTAACAATCAATACCTGCTCACAAGAGAAGATAACTCTGCAATACGCAAAGACGCAATATGGTTCTGCATTTCAATATTACGAGTATCGTGCACGTGTAAGTGAGCGACAATGTCATATTTTACAGTTGGGGAAATTGATAGACAAGGAGACTATAATATACGACATGGAGAAGGTTGGGATGCGGCATCTCTGGAAACCCGGAATCGACACATTTAACCAGTTTGTCACACTTGTTGAGGACAACTACCCCGAGAGGCTCAAGTTTATCTTCATCATCAACGGTAACAATGCGAATCGAAACATGTTGAAAATGTAGTTCTTGAAAATCAGTTCTGTAATAAGAGAGTCGGTTTTGATTCGTCAAAACTGCCTGATTAAGTGCAATGATAGGAGGTGTGTTGGTATTAACTATTGTGTATGTACATTTTTGAAAGCATATTGCACTGTCATAATTGTAGAGCCATTGTCATTACCTTGTCCCTAAACTCCGAAATCGCCTAATAAAATAGTGAAATCTTAAAATCAGACGACGAAACACTAGCCAAACATTGGCATATGATAGCATTATTCCTGGTATCTGAACAAGAATTGAAAAAGTGACTACATGTTGCATTGTTTCTACAGCTCCAAAGATTTTCCCGGTGATCTGGAAACTAGTACGACCATTTGTGGCAGAAGGAACGAGAAAGAAAATTAAAGTATTCGGTACAAGTAAGTTAACACTTGGAATAAATATTTTGTTTTAATTGAAATTAATTTGTACAAAATTTCATTGTTATTTGAACTATTAACATAAAAACATTTTATTACAAATACCGGACTTTGAAATCTGTTTAAGTATCTCTCTGCATCGTTGCATTTTTTATCACAGCTAACTACACCGACACTTTGCTTAAATACATCGACGCTGACCAGTTGCCAGCCGCCTACGGTGGTACACTTGTGGACAAACTCGGAGATCCCAGATGTGGCGAAATGGTAGGTCTTAAGAACGGAGGCGCACACAACATCTGAACATCGCTCATAATTAAAAAAAATGATAATAATAGTCTTTCTTTATACTTTATGACAAAGTTGAGTCAACCACATTTGGTCAAGAAGGTTACAATACGTTACAACTTAATCATATCCAACAGCAATACTTAAAATTAACCGAGAGCAAAACACATTGCACTATTCCATTGCATGTCAGCGTAAAAGGCGACCAATGTGGGATCTCCTGCAGAGTCTGTGTCTCCAGCTAAGGGGACCTCAGAGAGACCAAAAATGACCTACATACCCCATTGCAAAAATTGTAATCTATATATCATCTATTCTTACTTCTCTACTATTTCTTTTCGTCTGATGTCTCCCTAGCTACCCGTCTTCAAATGACCTTAGCTGCTGCAGGGACGTCAAGCTCAATACAAACAAACGAATAAAACCGAGAGCAAAAAGACATCTCCCGTATGGTTAGATTAAGTTGTAAAAAATCGTCTTTTCGTTTAACATGTATGCCAAGTTTTACGCTGTAGATACTGGTATGTAATGTGAATGGGGAAAAAAGAAAATAGCCACTTGAAATTCGGAACGAAGAAGCAATAGGTCAATTCAGAAAGCCATCAAAGAAAACATACATTGCACTATATGGTAAATTTACATATCGTCCATTTAAAGCTCATAGGTAGAACTAACTTTCTAGGGAATTGCTCTGAACCCTATATAAATAAAAATATGAAACGGGCCTGTATTGCCGTTGTAAGTGTGACAGATGTTGTTTTACATAAAACAAATACAAACAAGTGTTATGACTGTTTGTTAAGCGGCGGTCAAAAGTGGAGTGCATTTTGTTGTCACGCTGTCTGACCGACTGTTCAAGTTATCACATGGTCAAAACCAGCCCGTAGAGTATTCAACCGAATATTTTCGGATTTAGCTTTTGTGTGATGAGAATAGTGTGACGATTCACGTATTGTGAAAAGGAGATGTTGAGTTGAATTTTACGACAGTTATTGGCCTTCATTCATATTCCTCATGCACAGTTCAACCCTGAAATATGGGCTAATAGGAATCCATATAAACTGTGTAAACATCGATATTTAAACACATTTTGTTGAGAATTATTTAAATGGTCCTAAGTATGACAGTTAGATCTTTCATCTAGATATTCCTTTAGATTCAATTCGGGTTATTGTTCGAAATTTGCGGATTACAAAATGTTCATCAATATATCGAGGGCATACAATGCTCCGGTATATAGTGTTTTTATTGATATTTTGTCAGTTGGCCTTGTTGATTGAAATACAAATTAGATGCAGACCCCTATTGTCTGAAAATTCTAAAGGGGTCGCGATTGCAGAAAGGTTATGGCGTCAGACCGTTAGGATCACTGACTCACCACCACAGGGTAATAGGTTCGAGGCCTTCGTGGGACAGTCTCTAGGTACACTCCGCAGGTCGGTGTCTTAATTCGGGTACTCTGGTTTTCCTCAACCATCAAAAACCTTAAATTACCATAGTTGTTTATAAGACATAAATCATAAACTTACCATAACTATACAATCTAATTTGTGAGAACATAGCAAGTGTCTTATAAATCTGTGTGGATCATAACTGTAATTGTAAGTGTCGTGAATAAACATTTGAAACGTATAATTGTAATTTGTATTACTTACTTATAGATTGTCCAAGGTGGAGAGGTACCAAAAGAACTCTACGCCAATGCTGACAGCCTGGAGAGAGACAAATTTACATCGGTGACCGTCGGCAGTAAACAGCTTCTGGACCTGGACTATAACGTCACCATACCAGAAAGTGTGCTAAGGTAGGGAAGGCATTTTGAAATGGAATGATATTATGAATTGAATCATCTCGTATGTTTTCATCTATACAACGTAACAATAAATCAGACTCGTTCTGTTGAAACGATGGTCAAGTGGAAGCGAGACTAAGGTGTTGCTTTTCCGGCGACGGCGGCGTCAACATTAAGTCTGTGTGTTTCAGTTAGTTTCATTGAAAGTATAAGTGCAAAAACAACCAAACCTGGACCATAGATGCGTCTAAGGTAGTACATCTCAACCCATGCATCAACTTCCATGGTCCATTGACTTTGCCAGCATTGCAACAACGTTAAGTTTTTGCGTTTAAGTTAGTATCTCTGATATGTCTATTGATGGTCAAAGCGGGGCACAGGCGAGACATATCAATCCGAATGGCTTGTTGCTTGGTTTGAGTATTATGTGTATTGAGGTGTCGTATCAATTTGACAATGACAGTGGTCACAGTTAACAAAATAAGGAAGTAAATGTTATTAGGTGTATATAATATTTCCTACGGATAGATCACAAAAGAAAATCATATCGAGCAGGACCCTCCATACCCAGGAGTACTTTAAATGTACTTATTTTAGCGTACTCCTATTTTAGCGCATTGCTGAATTTTAACAGACTCTTGCATTGATGCATTGACGCACCAACGATATATGTTTTGGGTGACAATTCGCGAAATCACCAATAAGCGCTATCATATCTTAGCACAAAAGTAGGCAAAACGCTAAAATAAAACTACCAGTAAAATATGTTTGTTTTCATTAGTAACAGCTGTCACCTTTTCCCGAAACAATAACATTGTTGTGGAAGGGTAAATTCCATTACCAAATTATGTAAAGTACAATGGCCTACGTTCTTTGATGATTAGTTTTAAAAATATTGATTATAGATAGTATGAAACCAACTCTGGATTCAATTTGTGAAAAGGATTTGTTTGTTTGTTTGTTTGTTTGTTTGTTAGTTTGTTTATTTGTTTGGGATTTAACGTCCTCCCGACAGGCAATGTAATATGAGGCCGGATGCCAAGGACGACACCGCCGACACGAAGGAGCAGGGAAGGTAAAAGAGGGAGCGATATAAATCCCAAGCGTTATAATGGAGGCCGTATATAAATGTTGGTTTCTTCAAGGTCCTCTTAGAAACAGACAGAAGAAACCCCCGACTCTACAAGGGGCCTAGGCCTACATAAGTAGCCTCTTATGACGATATGTAGTGGAATACATAAGGCTCTTTCTTTCCTCGAACCCGCAGCGCAACGTTACACCAAAAAAAAAAGTCTGAAATGTTATTTCAGGTGTATCGATACTAGGTTTTGATTTCTCGAGAGAGAAAAAAGGAAAAGTAAGCATACCACATTTGTTTTACTTTATAAGGGGTGCTTCTGGGGCATGAAAAACAGAGCCATGGGTACCATTAAACAAAAGGGCATTTTTGTATGTTGATTGTATGTTGTAGTTGTATGTTGTAGTTGTATGTTGTATTGTAGTTGTATGTTGTAGTTGGCAATTCTTCACGGAAGGATATGACGTTGGCTTCGCTGTGTACAAACGGATACAGGAAGGATTACAGAAGGGAAACATGGAGGAGATTGTAACACCGGAGAGGGTCACCAGCCATATATATCCGGGCGACGGTAGTGTCGTGTGCAAAACTGTCGGCACTTGTAAGTTACCAGGGTGTTTTGATAATGATATTCATGGGAATTTACCCCATTTCAGAATTGTGAATAAAAGACTTTTTATTTCACAAAGAATTATAGAGCATTCATTATTTATGAACAAATAGATGAAAATCAGTGTGAAAAAATGCCGCCCTGAGCTGCGGATACAAGCTTGGCTTAGCTATCATTTTGTCTGTTGTTGTTTTCAGTGCCTTTTTGTTGTTTAGATATCCTTGTTATTGAAAGAGTTCAGTATAGTAAACTATTTATTTATATTTATACTTTTGGGGGGATCGTTGAATATTTTTACACCAGCTCTCTTCTCGAGATATAACAATATAGCTGCTGGCTAATAACAATATAGATATTTTCAATTCGGTGACTTCTGTTAAAAAGTTCGATATGATAAAGTATATGTTGTTTTGGGGAAATCTTAATATTTTTTCATTTGCCTTTTTGGATTATGACACGCCTCGTGCGAATAAAAATGCACGTCTCTCGGAAACAAGGGTAACGAATATAAATTTTTACAAAGTAGTTTCCTGTCGCGGTAGACAAAGGGGCATAACTCTGTTTCTTGATTAAAATCGTTTTATATTTACAGACGTGGTACGGTTTGACAACACGTACAGCTGGACTCGCGGTAAGAAGATCTTGTACTCGGTTGACGTGATGGCGCCCGATAGTATGGACGGCTTCAGTAACGTTGACATATGCACCAATTAACTGTCACTTTTGTAAAGTTAACGAACAACGTTAACACACGAACAATTTCATACCAGACATTTTGATTTAGTTTCCGGTGATCCTGTTACTATGAATCATGTCATTGTACACAACGACACGCCCCCTTTGTAAACAGAATACCTTAAATCGGGGAAATTTCCGCCGCAGTTAAACTTTCGCCTATTTTGCTCTCCCTAATGAGGGCGATTGTTTTATGACGGCGAATATTAGTGCACTACATACAATGTATAGTATTTCCATGTAAAAGGCATAATTGATACTGGGCCAATATTGATTTATCGGCGAATGGCAAAAAGTTGACTGGGCGAGAGTCCTCAAGCATACAGTTACCCAATACTAGCAGATGCATACGTGTAAAAACTTGCCGCCAATTTATAACATTCACGGCCCACTGCTTCCTCGGAATTTCAGGAGTTACGCTCATTTACATTTTCTTCATCACTCAAAAATGTCATCACAAAATTAAAGGCTCTGATATAATTAGACAAGTTTAACCTTTTAATCAAAATAATCGCGCGGTAGCATAACGGTAAAATTGACTAGCTTTGAAATCGGGTGTCGCTCTTCTGTTATCTTCAAAGGACAGGTACAAGTCTAAAGATGGGTCTTTTTTTACCTGAACCAAGCAAATAGCTAATTTAGTGTCTTCAGTTTTGTCATGACATGGAATTTCAAGATTGACAGTCGAACAAGTGTTGTATGCTTGATTGATGTCTATAGGATATGTCGGTAACTGAACAACAGAGCCGGTCATGACTTTATCATTTTATTTTGTAGCATGGTTCATATTTTATACTTTCCTACAATCGTATTTTATATTTTGCTTTCATAGTATTGCATTTGTTTTTGTATTTATTAAAGATTTAATTTCGACATTGTTTGGGTTCAAGCTTTACTTTTTCGAACCTCTGTATCACCTTGTGGTAATTACGCCATTTGATACAATATGTATGCATATATTAAATAGAAAATAATTATCAAAATCAAGACGCATGTCATTGAATTTCCCTTATCCTACACCATTAAATGAAAATTACAATCGAAAATACGTACATTTGATTCAACAACATTATTTTGACAAATTCACCGGCGTGTGCTACGAAAAAACGATAGTTCTAAAAAGAAGAGAAAAAAAACGGAGCTAGAAATAGGGAAAATAAAACTGTATGATTACGCGTGCTAAAATTCATAAGTTTGGTAAAATATGATTTAATAATCATGGTTTCATTGGCTACTCAAGAGGAACACATTACGAGCCTTTATATATGCGATCCTTAATTTTTAATGTAATTTTAGCAAGTATATTCAATGCAGCGCAGAATCGGGCGTTTTCTCTGATATCTTCTGATTCGAGGACAATGAACAGATTTGGTTTGGTTTTACGTCTTTTTATCGGCTTTGATCATTTAAGGGCGTGCCAGGTTTTGATGGTGGAGGAAGCCGGAGAACCCGGAGAGAAAAACCGCCGACATGGGGCCAGTACCTGGCTACTGCCCAACGCAGGCCTCGAACCTGTAATCCAGTGGTTGAGGGCTAGTAATTGTAGACGGTCAGACGCCTAAGATTGAAAAGACCATAATTGACCTGCTGACCCCCTTGTCTGTCGTTCATTTTTTCTCTCGTCCAATCTTTCCTGTCGATGGTGCCTCCCTAGGGTTCCGTGTTTATTTGACATCAGGTGTTGCGAGGAAGTTAAACCCCGAACAACCAAGTCACGAGTTATACACAATCCAAACTCTACCCGGACTTTGTGTTAATCATCACGAAAATTACAGTATCAAAAATTAAAACCTAAATACAGTGTACTAGAAGGGTTGTTTATAAAATGAGTTAATTTCTGAGATAGAGCATAGCCAATCATCTTATAATGATGGATATGCAAACGCGTGTACTCTTGTAGAAAACGTCTTTTTGGGTTAAAATTATGAAAATCACATTTTACAACGCCGCACAGCTGTGAGAATGAGATCTGACATTGTGTGTATGTATATGTACATGTACATATTCCTTGTTCATTTCTTTTTGTCAAATCGTTTTTCGTGTTAAAAACGCTACATGTTTGTAACTTGCAAGATACCGATGACTGAATAGTCACATAACATTCGTAACTTCAATATTGTTTAAACATTATAATAATTGTAACTCTGATAACATAGTTGACCTCATCCATAATGATAAGGAAAGTATCAACAACTGGTTCACCCGTTGTCAGTATGATGTGACCGGGCGTAATGCTGTGATGGGTGCCTTCGGCATGGTATTTCAGTGAGATAACACTATCAAGTTGGCATCAGATCCGCGCTATTACAAGAAGGCAATTACACCAACATGACTTATCTCCAGCACACAAAGACACAATTATGCATACACTTCACACATGGAGGCATGTCATTGTATGACCTTATCTATTCAAAACAAAATAAACCTTGCTATAAAAAATCGTTTTCGGGTATTTCTCATTCTTGTGAATTTATTCCCTGTGGTGTGAATCAATACTGATAATTATATGAATAAGTGAAGTGCTGCTGTCATCGTATTCTACGTTAGATAGTGCAACCTACTACACTATATTCCTGTATAGCACGCAGCACTCATCACCTTAATAATGACGGGCAGGCTAATACGCGTTTCTGTAGGCGTCGTGAAAATTGGCCGTTGTTAAAAACATAAATAGCATGGAGGGTAAGGTAAGATGGTGGTCCTTAAATATTGATTGACGTCATATGAGAAGAGAATGCCTTTAAAATAACACTGCTAGATCACATGTCTATACATCAATACTGCTAGACAGTATATGAAACAGTGATGTGATTTTAATAATGGTAAGGCCAACAAAATAACGTGTGTGTTTCATGTTGTTTTCTCTCACTTTCCCCTCTGTCTTTTTGGTGTTGTCTTATCTTGCTTTCAGATCTTTTTCTTCATTGTACTAATTGGCAACAGACATTTAATAAGTATATATATGGTTTTTAAAAACGCCTTCAAATACACCAGGTCGTTTGAATAAACCTTCTGTTGTTAAAATCATATGCCAAATAGAGGTCGTCCGATCACTATGTAATTATACGACCTCTACCGAGAGTTGTCGTTCCTTACACGCACATGTAACACTACTGTCTACAAAAAGCAGATGTATTAATTTGTGATCGATACCACCTACATCAGCCGTTGTGATGTTGTCTGTCGGTGTAAGCATGGTCCGATGTGGTCTAGTGGTTAGGATTTCTGGTTTTCACCCAGACGGCCCGGGTTCAATTCCCGGCATCGGAAATTGTTTTCATCTTTTTTTATGTATGTCTATTTGTTATCTTAGGCAGGGACGTATAGCTCTATATACTGTCCCTGTCTTAGGCCATGGTTTTAACCGTTTCACACGTAGATCACATAACCCATTAAATGGTCCAATTTATTTTCCATGTCAAGAGCTTTTATTGTAAAATTACTCTGCGTTGTGCAATAATTCCGACCACAGGGACCTGAGAATATTTTACAGCTATATTTGGATTTAAAATAAGGTGTTCGGAGTAAATTTACACGTTTTGGGGGTTTAGATCATCTTTCTGTAAAAATGCAATCCCCAATGATGATATATATGAGAAGGCATTTTTATCTAAAGTTGATTTAAACCCTTAAGACGTGTAAAATAACTCTGAACGCCTTAGCTTAGGTCCAAATATAGTTGTAACAAATTATCAGGTCCCTGTGATTCCGACCAAACAATAATGCATGTCTACCGTCACAGTACCTAAATCGGGACAATACCCAAATCGGGACACTTGAAGGAAAAAGTCACAAGAAATTTGCATGCGGTGCAAAGAAGTATTTTCAAATTAAAAATATTGGTTTAAAGATGTTAATATACCAATAAAACATTATATGAACATTATTTACTGCCACTTACGGTTACAATCACAGTTTAAGTTTGTAAATATTGATGCGCCATGCGACGTTTTTGATTTTCAATTTTTGTATGTGATTTTTCACAATCCTACTAATTCACAACTAATGATAATGTGGAAAAGAAATTCATTCAGAACGACCCTTGACTCCTAAATATTCCAAAGATATGCCCTGCTAAATACATATTCATCTCCAAATATAAGCCAAAACGGGTTTGGGTGTCCCGATTTGGGTACAGCTACACCTGTTTCGCGATTAAGTAACCATCACTATATTTCCGCGTTTATTTAAGCCGGAAATATCAACTTGTTATCAAAATGAAAAGATATTGATATCTATTTAGGAAAAGTGAACAACAATTACTGGGATCGGTACTATGGTATGAAATACATCAATATTTCACTAAAAAGTGTCCCGATTTGGGTACTGTAACGTTAAATAATTAGTTGCTGAGAAACTGAATTAAACATATTAAACTCACTCCAATAAACGTGAGAAGACTATCAAAATATGATAAAGATATTGTCTACTAATTTTCTTTCTTATACAATAATAAGCAGACTGTATGTATGGTCCGATGTGGTCTAGTGGTTAGGATTTCTGGTTTTCACCCAGACGGCCCGGGTTCAATTCCCGGCATCGGAGAAGATTTTTTTTCTTTGTCTGTTATTTTATATATAAATATAACGCCTGTTCTGAAATTGATGACTTACCTTGCTCATATATCGAGAGATGATCAAACGAATTTATAGACGAGACCAAAACAGATATACTGCCCCAATTGAAGCGTTTGGGACCTTTGTATTTTGCCTCTTTCGCTATCTGTTTTCAGAATAATGTGACTGGGTTGGGTGAAATGCATGTCGTCCCAAAATCGTGACATTTCAGGGTCGTAGTACTTTCAAACGGCATCCGTGAATACTGCATATTGAGCTACTCTAGTTGTAATATACGTTTTTGCAGTTGTATTACTGTAATATCAATGTTCTAGTAAAGTTCTGCATCTGTCGAGTGTGTTATTTCCAACTATGCATGCAATGGTGTTTGTTGCACAAATACATCAAGTATGTGATATTGTTTAAAAGTGAAACACGAAGTGAAAGACCGAGTTACTAATTGTTTTGTCCATATGAATATCATATAACGACCCTGAAGATGATCGGAAGTATTTTACCTGTCACATTTGTAAAGATACAGTTTATCTTTCATCACCGTGTAATACTGTATATATGTGTCTTGAATAGAGGAAGAAAAACGGCGTGGACACTTTTTTTAAAACCACTATAAGGTACTAGATATACTACCGAAAAAAATGTAACATTTGCTGTTAATAATGAACATACATGTATTTTCAAACATGGTTAGTTTTCTTAACATGCTAAAATGTTCCCCAACTTCTACACACCCGATATCGTCCCCGTGATATGGCGTCTGACTAAACCGTTCCTGGCAGTAATGTTATATGGGACATGATACTACTAACGCTGGAAAAAAACACATTTCTAATGTAAAAATGTTTAACAAAAGTTAGGATTGTAAAGGGTACAGTGACAGAAGTCCCCCAAACTGACCTGTAGTCGTAAATGATGCATTGGGGGAAAACATTTCAAAGTACTCGTACACTCGAAGGCGGAGGCGATGAAAATTAGAAAGAGAGAAGGATCGAGTTGGCTTCACCTTGGCGTACACCCCTAAATGTGTCAAGCAATTTTAGGACACGGCGGCCATTTGTTCGATGACCGTTTGAAAAAAAGAAATGCGCTACGCACACCTACACATGCCCACCAATGTTTATATAAAGTTTCGTAGATAATGTGGACAGCAGTTTCCGAGGAAAAAAACCTGGAAACCATTACGCGGACGAACGAAGAATAGCAAGAAGAAGAAATGCAACAAAAACAATAAGTCCCCTTCTTTGTTTTGGGAGTTAATTAATATTGATCAAACAACCGTGTAAATATATAAATGTGTGTCATTG